GACTAGAACTTAGGTGTCATGTGTGCACGGGCGGCCAAAGAGTAGATGAATACCCACAGGGCAGTACCATGGCTTCAAAGCTAGCACAACTTATTGTGAGTCCATAGGTTGACTTAGTGCAGGCAACTTTTCAGCAATTAATGTGTTAATAACATATGTATGAAGATATATATATACATTGACCTTGGTGGAATAGGAATTTGACACTCTACATCGGATGATTGTGGGTTTGATTCCTCACATGGTATAACCATTTATATTCATAAGTATGATTGTGTGTATTGTGTGTTCTCTATGTATATATATTTATTAACAAAAAATATATCAAAGTATATCTATCAGTTTTCTAGTACCCATAACACAAGTTGTTTAGTTTGTGACTAGATAGCGCTATGTAAATTGTCCAGGTATATTATTATGATATACCTTTATTGTAGCTTTGCCCTCATTATCTATAAATACAATAAATCAATATCCATTATTCAACTAGGGGCTACATACATACAACCACATGACTACATCTGGGTGCCCCTAATTTTGTGAGTTTTATATGTATATATCACCATATTTATTTATTTATTTGTACACTTTATATCAATGATTATACACAAAACATTTTAACAGCAATTCCTGCACTAAGTTCAATGCAGTAATTTTTATTTTTAATTTTCATACTCTACTCTCTCTCTCTTTATAAATAAATAGATTGATTTAAAAAAAACTCTTACCAAACTGACATTAAAACTTGAAGCTAGAACAAAAACTAGCAAAAAAGTTTGAAGTTGCAAGATTTTAATGGGACATTTTTTGTGATATGTTTATTTACTCTTATTTTAGTCATGGCATGAATAATTTTTAGATATTAATAAAAATAGAATAACCAAAAATTTAAGCAATAAAGACATTGATAAATAAAGACACTTCACAGTTCTGTGAGATTTAAGCAAATTATAAACAAACCATAAACCATACACATATTCCTTAGCATCAATAATGATATATAAATGAAATAATTTTGTACTATATTTCAAATAGAAAAATAAAATATAAATTAGGTTTTAATACACTAATCTATTTTTTTTTTTATTCCAACTATCCAATCATGTTTACTCAATGTTACTCTGTAAGCCTTTGGAATGTTCATGTACATATATAAGCATCAAAGTGTATGTAATATTATAAAAAATAATACTTGGAGACAACATTAAAATATCATTTAGTAAATTTGGTAAATATTGACATGAATTTTAGTAGAATCTGCTGTTTTGTTTATACTATTTAGATAGTTTAATATTCTGTTTTAGTCTTAATCAATAAGTAATTAAAGTAAAAACAACACTCATTAACTTTTGTAAATATATATTCTAGTTTTAAAGAACTTTTTAAAATACTTCACACACAAGTTTGCGTTATTTATACACAGATGTCTTGGAGCGAAAATCGTACATGAATGTCGTTGTATCAACTAAACATTATTATAACATTATATTCAATGTATTAAGAGTGCATTCTTAACACATTTCCAGCGAATGTTAGTTCATAACTTACCTATATAATTTAGCGGCAAACCATTCCCCTGAACAACACCGTGCCCCGGTTCGCCCTCCATTCGCAAACGTTTCTGATTCATGGCCCTATCCGCTTCATAATTCATCTCGGTAACTAAAAACAGAAACCGAAATATAAACCACACACAGCAAACACTATAAAACACATTTGCACACCGCTATTCAAACAAAATAACAAATATTAAACAATTTCTTGCAAATTGTGACAGACGCCAACCGGACGCTAGTACAAAACACAGGTTATATGTCTGCAAAAGCAAACAAGCGTACCTTTGTTGGTCACTGATTGTTATTGATTTTAGTTATTAGAAGTACTTAGAGCACTCCCCGTATTAATTTGTAGCATAATAGAGCACGATATATAGTCAAAATAACTGTTGCATATGAAATATGCATCAAATTATCTGCTTAATGACAGTAAAATTAGAAAAAAACACAAGTGAAGCGCACTGAAGACGGAGTTCATTTATTTTTTTTCTCATTCTTTTCAATCTAGCGGCTAGTGATGTACCCATTTTATTGTGTAAATTAAGATTATAATGTTTATCTTTGAAAAAAAAATTAAGTGTAACTATTTAAACATTTTGATTTTAAAATGTTTAATAAGGATAGCAAAATTAAGGGCAGTATCAGTTTATTTATTACCAGTGACTTCAAGTCTTTGTCGATAATTCAGTAGAATCGGTTATCACTAATCTGATGGCCACAGAAAGTCGAAATGAAAAGTATTTACTTCCACAATTAACTGGAAATACAAATTAAGCAGTTAATTTATTATCCTTATAATTTACTAATATAGCACGAAGCAGAGGATCAAGACTTCAAAACTCAAGAATCCATGATTAAAAAAATAGCAAATAATAGTTTTAATTTATTTCATTAGGAAATCCGTATAATAATTCGATTTTAACTTGGATTTGACACAATAATAAGGAATAATTATTTAGATACCTACTGTAAATAATCACAGTCTGCAACAAAATCCACTGTATAATAATGACTTCTATTAGACGACAACATAACGTCATTCAAATCAATCTGGCTGTCGTGTAATTATATGAACTGTGACATGACAGCTGGTCCTGTGGAGAATATTGAATATTGATATTCCTTTCTTTTATTTACATGTATAAAGTAACATATTTTTAGGTTATACTATAATTTTATAGCTGTACTCATATAACAAATGAAAATTATAATCTCATACTAATACTTGTAGACAGTAATTTATTATAAAAGCAAACGATGGACGTGAATTCATCTTTTTGGTCCGGTTTGGGATGCGGTATCAGTATAGCATTATCCGTATACGCACTGAAAAAGTATCTTGTTGGTGGAAGTTCAGTTGCCACCACTGCGAAGGCCATAAAAAAGGTTAGCTTTATAGCTCACAGCAATTTATTTGTTTAGTTCCAATATATGTACTACTTGTTATTTGACCTGTGAATAAATTTATTGGTACTCTTTATTGCATCAAATAAAGATAATAATTAAAATAGTACATATACATGAACTGATAGAGAAGGTGGTCTTATCGCTAAGCTATTTCTTGAACTTTCTGTTAATACCTATTTACTGTGTAATTTTAACTGTTACAAAAATGTTCTTCCACAGTTTGCATCAAATACTGAATATAAACTAGTGCTGGTTGTACGAACAGATCTGAATATGAGTAAAGGTAAAATAGCAGCACAGTGTGGGCATGCCGCTGTGGGAGCATTTGAAAAGGCGCAGAAGAAGGATCCAGAAGGTCTGAAGCTATGGCAGTTAACTGGTCAAGCTAAAATCGCTCTTAAAACTGACTCTGTTGATGAAATTAAACAAATATCGGACAACGCTAAGAAGATGGGCTTGATTACATCTCTCATAAGGGATGCTGGAAGAACACAAATTGCAGCAAACTCTATAACAGTATTGGGTGTGGGACCGGCACCAAAGGATATTGTTGATCAAGTGACTGGACATTTAAAACTATTGTAAAAATAACATTATTAGAAACACTATGACTGTTTTTCATTGTACCCTTTTATCTAAAAAATCTATATGTGCTTTAAAATAATTAGTTAATATTTATATAGTATGTAAGATAGATTTATTTGTTTCTAATGAGGACTGAGATAATGTTCCCATCCACAGAACAAAATTTTTGTTCCCGTCTGCTAATCAGCGCCATCTAGTCCCAAGTTCAGCTAGCTAAAACTTATGTTACGGGTACAAGTAACTGATGACATTTACATATATAATTTTTTTTCGTAAATACATATATATTATACATACAAAACACCTAGACCGATACAAACAATCATACTCATGAATGTTTGTGCCGTGCGAGACATCGGACGTAAAGCGGTGTGCCAGACCGCTAGATCACCGATGTCGTCTAAATAGAATAATTAAAATTAAATTGGAGTTCTGCAGAAGGGGCCCCATCTCTTAAGTGTTAGCAACATACACTTGATACCCTTGGTATTCTAAGCATTAACTGTAGCCACCGTTATCACTTATCATCAGGTGGACTGTATGCCTGACTCCAACCGTCATTGGTTTTTTAGTAGCTTTTACATTATGTTCAACAAATAGGAAATAAATAATATAAATCTCATTGTTTTATAAATTTAATTTTAATTTGTAACAAATGTTTTGACATCTTCACATTATACATCAATCAAAAGGCACAAGAATAAGGCTTTATATTATATGATTATACATATATCATAATCCAAAACATTACAAATTTTAACATTATTATTAAACACGTCTTCAAAAGTATCATCGCTATAAAAATATTTTAAAAATCAAAGAATCTTATTTATATACATACTGAAAATGACAATTATACATAATTATAATTATTATAAAACCACATATAAAATTACTAATGAGTAACTTCACATTAACATCATATTGTTCAACATTAAACATCATATTTCCACTAATGTCTTTGTATACACATAGAAAACATTTGAATGTTGCTATAATATATTAATATAGTCATCCAGTTACCTGAATGCGAGTATAACGACCTACACACGCAAATCAGTGGCAACACTATAACTGTAAAGTGGTAAAACAAGACGGGCGGGTACTAAGAAATCACTCCCGATTTCGGTACACACTAGGCGATCTAAAAAAGCGATCCAGAGCACTTCCCACTACTGCTCTGATATTCTAATTCTATTGATAGAATATCTTATACAATGGAAGCACATTTTTTATTATTACACCAACCCAAACAATTATAATTTTAACATGATATTAATTATTATTATAAGAAAAATATATATAAAAAAAAAGTATATTTTCAAACCTATACAGAGTTGTCAAGGTTATACTAAACCAAAGGCCTGGTAGAATAGACACGAAACTGAACCATAATCACCATTATACAAAGTGGAAATTTGAAAATCAATTTTGAACTTTCGTTCGTATTCATATTCATATTAAAAATCACTGGCCCATTGATTGGTGATTTAGCAAAACAAAAGTTCATATATTTTATTACGTTTTATTAAAATTATATTTTGGACTAAATTCGTATAGAACCTATATATCAGTTATCATCAGTTAGGATAGAAAGAATGAAAAAAATGAATGAAATATTTGACCAATCAATTTCATTCGCTAAGATTCAGGTCATTCTTAGTAGGCGGAATATTTGACATAATACATATTAATAATATAAAATAGACAGTGTATGTCTGTACGTAAGGTAACAAACTTTTTTAAAAGTCTGAACGGATCTTAATGAAATATTATATGACAAGAATGAATCTTGGCTAAGTTTTAACTCAAAAGTAGATGAACATTCTAGTAACAGCAAAAATGTGATGTTACGCACCAAATCTGGTTACCACAGATCTAATTTACTTTATAACTTAACAATATACCACTTATAGTCTACATACTGTCTACTTTATGAGTAAACATTAAAAATACTAAATAAGTAAAAATAATTTTAAAACTTCTAAAATCAATGCTCTAGCAAATAAAGATATAAATCTTAACTAATATTATTATAAATGGGAAACTAAATTTGTTTGCACGCCTTAACATATTAAGTGATCATCATACAATTTGGTATCTATATAGCATCCATACCGATTTTTTCATGTTATTGTGCGAAGTAAATTCTGAAACACAAGGCAAAATTAGCCCCGACCTTAACAATAATCTGCAGACTAAGCAGAAGAGGAAACGCCACTACACATCGTATGTGGTTGCAGCCCACTAATGCATAAACAAAATATCTCCTTCGGAAAGTATACACTCTATCCTGAGGAAATATAAACCATCGCTCCTAAGAATATCCTTCAATTCTTGTCATCAAGAATGGATAAGGGTCTATGTAGCGAGCTTTCAAAAATGGCGAGCACAATATATCTTTGCAGGTTGCATTGTTACAGTCTTATTCAAATTAAAAAATCATTTATTCATGTAGGACATTTTAGCCGCTTATGAACGTCAAGTTTTACATTATAATTTTTTTTCCCTACTTAGCACCTGACAATAGCCTAAAACCCTTAAAAATAAAAATAAAAACTATGAAATCAAATTTAATGAAAATTGGTTTATCTGTTAAGATACCAAGAATGTAACAAACAAACTGAGGTGCATTCCTAGTAATGACGACGTGGTCTAGCGATTTATTTGTCATAATAGTGAGTTCGATTCCAGGCACGATACAAAAATTAATATCCATATTATCATCCAATTAATTTCTATTAGTTATTACCCTTAACACAAGCTCTTAGCTTGGGACTAGATGGCGCTGTGTGAATTGTCCTTGTCCTATTATTAATTGGTCCTTACTATGAATATATTATTACATCCACACTGTCGATGGACTAGCAGACATGATGTCATCACCATTTTATCATCCATCACTGGTTCTCAGCCAGATTATCCAATAACACAAGCAGGATGCTATTGAGATATATCCACAAAAATCTTAAAATCCATCAAATAAAAAGCTTTGAATGAAATAAAAAAATATTAAAATGATTAAATCCTAATCTTTTAAGTAACATTGTTTACTGGGTAGGTTGGGTTTGCGAAGTATTTTTGATCTTATTTATAACGTTCTTAACGTCACTAATGCATTGGTCGGTCTGCGCGGCGTTGTGTGGGTCGGTGGTTTTCCTTCTGTACAATTCCATCATGTTCTTCATTGTTTCCAGACCCATGATTGTGGCTGCCACACCTCGTACTTTGAACTGGGATTAAAAACATTTATTTTGTTAGTAACAATGTAAAAAGATAAGTAAAAATCCTCTGCTACACAAGCAGAGGATTTTTCTCATCTATTCAATCCTCATCCTCAATCTCACCTATTTCAGCCGCGAAGCAGCCTATTTTTTAAGGTGTGTTGGAAAAGTGGGAGCACAATAGATCTATGTAGGTCGCAGTCGCTACAGATCCAAACACATGACAATAGAATTAAGATTTTATTCAAACCCATACAAGCTCAACACGCACGTAACAACCCTTGTGGTTAGGCGTTCATAGGCTACGGTAACCGTTTATCATCGGATCGGCTTTATGCTTGTTTGCCGCCATCGTAATTCAGACAGCCCTCGACTTACCGTCGTTTTAAGTTACGTCGAACAATGTTTTGACACTATTCCTCAAGCATACAATTGTTTCGATTTCCGGCATACGTCGCGAGGTCAACGTCCGTGAGGTCGGCTGGGCGCGGTGTCGGAGAGCAGAGAGTAAACCGGATATGCTTTAGTTAGTATAAGTTAGTTTTATATACATATGAAAAAATATGTCTCGATTTACGTCGCGTATTTCGAAAACCTAAGTACGAGGACTGCCTACATAAAAAAAACAACTATATAAACTCACCGCGGGTACTTCGACGATCTTGTCGTCGTCGGTGGGGTCGACCGGCTCGGTCTTGATCTTCTTGGTCCGCGGCGGGCCGGGCGGGTCCTGGGGGTCCCTGGTGCGCGCGCGGTGGTGTCCGTGTGCGGCCTCCTCGTCCTTGTGGAGGTCGCGCCGCGGACACGCACACACGCGCACGTTCACCATCTCTCGCCCGTACACGGTGCCTCTGAGGATATATCACGGCCTCGATGGTCTAGTGATTGAGCACACCGCCTTACTTCTGAAGGTTGTGGTTTTTTTTAAAGTATGATAATGGTAGGACCTCCACCTGCTCTAATGGTATAACCTGACGGGGCAGCAGTGAGGATGATAAGCTGAGCATGAGGTCAGGTAAGTTGGCCTATCGTGACAAATTCACTAGGAATTTATCACGATGGTTTCCAGGGGATGGAGGCTAATATGGTCCATTGCTAGCATTAGCGTCAACTATCCAGCACATTACTATCAATCTCTTCCACCCTGAAGGTCGCGGGTTCGATTCCTCGCTCGGTACAAACATTCGTGTTAAAGATTGTTTACATCACTCTGGGTGTTTTCTATGTATATTATGTATGTATTTACAAAAAAAAGTATCTATGTATTTATAACAGTTGTCTGTTACCCAGGTCATGGACAATCCACTCGTACTCGTACCATCATTAAATCATCATCAATAGTGTACGACTTAAAATAATGATATTTTCATGGTAAGTAAATCCCCAACTAAAAAAAACCTAATAAGCAATGATTATAAACCATTATGATTTATGAACGTCTAAGATACCTAAAACTAACAAAAAGAGTCGTCAACGCTTGAACAGATCTTTATAAATTGTATCAAGAATCTATATCTTGATCACATCAGATATAAAACAAAAATTCTATTCGTTTAGGAGCTACGAGGCCATAGACATCATGAGAGAGCCCGTATCTCTACTTGCCACAATCATAAGATTAAAAGAAAAAGGCAAGAACTTACTTATAATCCTCCAACGTGAATATGATTGCCAGCGACCGCCGGTTGATTCCCATCGGGCATGAGTTCTTGCAAACAAATCGATACGCGTGACTCCGCTTCTCGGTCTTATTATCGAACGTCACCACGGTGGAGTACCAAGAGTTTTTGTCACCGCAATAGTAAACGCCATCGGTATCATCATTTCTCGAGGAGTGTAGCACGTTCTTCCATTTCTTTGTGAATTCTGGAGTCACTGGAATAGTACAATAATAATAAAATAACAGTATATATTATAGATACAGATGTACCCAATACACACAAGATACAAACCCAAATAAAGTTTTGTATAGCAGCACACATAATTCGAGCAAAACAGCTATGCGTCAACTGCCGGCGCTACGCGATCGCCTCGCTTATATTTATAAACTCGGTGCGAGCAGGAGCGCACTCGTATTGCCGTCTCACTCACTGTATTGAATCACCTTTTTGCCTAGTATACTAATGGCATAATTTTACGCACATAAGTTGTAAATGATTCTGAATAAAATTATCCACGAATACAATTAAAATAGTGGTTTCACTTCTACCCATACTGAACAACAATAGTTTTAACCCTTTGCACTCCATTATCGTAACGGTTGACGTCCCTTGTATGGGGACACGCGAGTGCAACAGTTGTACTAGATTCCGCTAGCCGTGGTTACGATCTGTATGTCAACAGCAAATGTCAATGTTGATAGGTGCCGGCCGTTTATTCAACTACCGTCATTAGATTGTCAGTGTCATACGGATAAAATACTCACGGTATCTGTACACTTATTGAAATCCTGTAAACTATATTAATAATGTGTACTAAACGCGAGTTTAAAAATATGATAAAGTACTAACCAATATGGTTGGGGTCCCGTTTGGCGAGGTCGTGATTGGGACACGTCTCGACACGTTTCTCGGCCTGGTCCTGGTCCAGGAAGATGACGCACGCGCGCACCGCCAGTCCGGTCGCAACGCCGGACCACATGAAATAGATCGGGAAGTCGCATCCAGCGTCCACGTATAGGCGACCCAGCTTCGAAGAATACTAAAACAAACAAAATTTACGTTACACGTTCAGTAGCGTGCCATATGATGCCACGCTGATACCTGTATTCAAGTGTTACACTTACTAAGTATTTCTTTTTATGGGTATCGGCACTGTTTATTTCCACATGAAAATTATACTCTCCCGGGAAACAGGCTCTGTCCGGTGGACCACAAGGCGATATCTGAAAAACACGAAAGAAATCCTTGAATAGCAACTGTAAAAATAATTAACACTTAGTTATAGTTTTCATTACATTATTATCATTTGATAGTATAAAACAAAGTCGCTTTCTGTCCGTTCCTACGTATGCTTAAATCTTTAAAACTACGCAACAGATTTTGAAGCGATTTTTTTTTTAATGGGAGTGATTCAAGGGGAAGGTTTATATATATGATAAATGTACACCGGATGAACGGAAGAGAAAAACATATTACACCGACCACAAATAAATAAGATAAGGAAGAAGCAGATGATGATGTTCTATACTATAATAGCTGAACCCGCGACTCAGTCCGCGTCGAATACTGACCTTCAATTGCATATAATATATAATAATCTAATCCAAAAAAGCCAAAGAAAAAAGTTTAATCATTCTAGCTTCAAAAATGACGATATTTCTATCATCTTCCCTATCAACCCCTTACAAATCTTATCATTAAAAAGTAGCCTATCCTTTCTCAGGGTCTAGACCATCTGTGTACTAAATTCCATTTAAATCTGTTCAGTTGTTTTAGCGTGAAAGCGCGATAGACAGACAGATTTATTGTCACATTTATACTATTAGTAAGGATTTATCATTATCCCCTTTATATCTTAGTGAAAGTGAAGTAAAGATACCTAGCTTTTAGCTTCGTAAATTCTTTTACAAATACCTTGTACATCTTACATGTATTTTGCATATGTTATTATTATTTTATATTATTATCGTCACCTTATCACTATTCATAGTGGTTTTTTTCATATTCTTATACCTCAACAAGATACAACTCTATTTATTTCTGTCCATACTAAAGTTGCATGGAAGTTGTGATACGTCTGCTCATTCTTACCTCTTTTTCTTGCACATAATAATCATATGTTTTGTCTTTTTTTTTCATAATAGTTAATTATTCTGTTTTCTGTGAGAGGAATAATAAACAGATTTCATTTAATTTTCACCGCCAGGTCTTGTGAGATAAAAATCGATTAAAAAACAGAGTATAGTTTAATATGCTAAGTGTGGCTATTAGTTCCCATTATAATCCCTTTCAGTCACGTGTTATACTTTTTAAGGTATGATAATGGAATGGTGACAAGAATTTATTCCAGTCCCCCCACCCGAGAGGGGTGGGGGGACTGGAATAAATTCTTGTGTCATACTTTATGGTAATCCCTTTTATACGTAGTTATGTTTTATATCGTATGAATATGTTATGATAAAACACGTGAGGGGGGTGGCGATTGTTAATAATGTGGACTAATCACCCCATTGCTACCAATGTACCATGTCACTCCACGTTGAACTCCACGTGGTTCCCCCCGGAAGCCATCGTGATAAATTCTTGGTGAATTTCTCACGATGGGCTAACTGACCTGACCTCATCTTATCATCCTCCACTGGTGCGCAGTCAGCGTAAACCGTTAGCGAAAAAAAAAGAGTTTATAATAAATAAATATTGCTATTATTATGATAGCAAATGAATACTTGTACAAGTACTTACAGGAAAAATTGTGTTTATCGTTGACTTCGGCAGTTCCATGATATCGAGTGTATCCTGGAACAAAATTATACATTTATTAGTAATAATGAATCACAGACACCGAGAAACAAAGTGGAAATATTAACATATTAATCGACATAGTATAAAATAAAGTCACTGTCGCTTTCGGTCCCTATGTATGCTTAAATCTTTAAAACTACGCAACGGATTTCGAATAATACATATACACCCGTGCGAAGCCGGGGCGAGTAACTAGTAATATTATAAACGCGAAAGTTTGTAAGTATGGATGGATGGATGCTTCTGATTGGATCTTCCACGCAAAAACTTTACAATAATATAACTTATACATCAGAATAACAAATTGGCTTAAATTTCAAGCGGGTGATATATGTAGATAGTTATAAATAAAAAAATGTGTCTTTCTTTAATTAATTTTTGCGACTTTTTTCGCGAGTGTGTATTATGACATATCCATCCATCCATCCTAACAATAAAAAGTAGTGGATAAATCTAGTTAATATTTTTATTTATTTATCAAAACTTTAACGCACAAATACAAAAAGGTGTAAATGACTGACTTAATACCATAAGGCATTTTCTCCCAGTCGACCATGAGATAAAAATAGATTAGTGGGTGGTGCATTATTAAGAATATAACATGAAAATAAATAAAAGAAAATAAATATATAAAGAATAAACTTACATTATTGCTGTAGCCATCACCGTTTCCTAAATCAATGTGTTGATCATAATCTGATGGAGTCAGCTCAATAAATTCACTGAAAAAGAGTACAATGTCAATTAGTATAATACTGAAATTATCTGAATTAACATTTATATTAGTAATCAGGATAAGAGGCATGATGGAAGTATTTTAGTATACTAGAATGACAACGCATGAGTGGTATCACGGGTACACATGATAACGTGATGCCCAGTGTTGTTTAAGTATCTAGACACGCGGTAGAGTGTCAAGCCAAGTTTCAAGTAAGACAACTGGCGAACAGCACCGTGTGTGTATATTTACACGAACCATTTGGAGCCACTTTTGACCCCCTCATAACTCAAAAACTCTTTCACATAAACCTGTCAAATTTGGTTCATATATTGATACTTGCGAGATAAATATGTGTTCCAAATTTCATAAACATACCTCAAACAGTTATTTAGATATTAATGTCCAAATATCGTCATTTTTATCACTGATCAACTATACATCAAAATTATAACCCACTTCCAGAGACCTAGGAAGTTCAAATTTGGCATGTTGGCAACTTGGCTAGTTTTCATATACGAAATATACTGTAGCCTTCGCAAATTCTAAAAATGTTACTTGTCGGTTCCTATTTTATTATTAGTAGTAACTAGCAATCGAAAGTAATAATTGGTATATGAGAACTGGCCAAGTCAGACTTTAGGTTACAGTATATTATCCTAAGTTATAAGAAGAAATAATATTTTATATTGTTATAAATACATTTCGGGACAGACCATTGAACTTGGCACCCATTTAGATCTCACCTCTTTTGTCGTAGATTACATACTATTAATGTTTTTTATGGGACACATTTATGTTTTTGATGGGATATAGACCACGCTTAATGCTTACCATCAGGTAGACTATCAGTTTGTTTGCAAATTTTACAAAAAAAAATATTTACATTATCTATCTATCTACATATGTGTACAGGCGACAGTTACCACTTATCATCATTTTGCCATTATAGTTAGAAATTGAAAAAAATATGTCTCTCAGCCCCTGTTATCCTCAGCCAGACAACAAAAATATCTTGCTTTTACAGACACTTTTGTAAAATATATATGCAAGTAAAATAGGCAAGAATACAAGAGTGGCCTACTACAAAAGAAACCAATTCTATAGGTTTAGGTTTAGGTTTAGGTTTAGGTCATTCTTCTATAGATGAAATAGAAGTAAAAGTAATTTTATTCCAATATACTTAATACAGGCAGTTTTGAATAGTTACATTTTTTTTATTCTACCACTCATTCGGATCTAACACACATCACAAGAAGAAAGAATTATTGTTTAATTAGATTAATGTATAGACCAAGGCATAGCTACATCAAACAAATTGAGGAGAAAATGGGAGTTGTGTCATATCAAGAATTAAAGAACATGATGGAAGATCGCGGAGAGTGGCAAGAGCTCCACCAACAAGAGCGTAGCTCTTAAATTATTAATGAATGAATGAATAATATTATAAACAAACTAGCAGTTCTGGCAAACATTGTTTTGCCATATTCATTGATAACGCTATAAAAAAGTAGGGGTTGGTGATAGAAGGGTGAAAATTTAGGGTTGTATGTATTTTTAATGACACAATAAAAAAATATTGCCCAAAAAATAAAAAAATAATGCTAAGGGTGGACAACCCTTATCACTTAGGGGTATGAAACCTACTGAATATGCATATAAAATTTCATAAGTATGGATCAAGCCATTTGGGAGGAGTATGGTAACTAACATTGTGACATGAGAATTTTGTATATAAGATAATCAAATCAAGAAACTTTAGTTTACATATACATTTACCTTGGGCCGTCTATCCACTGTTTTTCTGGATTTTGAAAGAATCTGCAACAAAATTTAGAGTTAGTTCTATTTAAATGTATGTAATTGTATCTAAAGAAATATATAAGGGTGAAAAATAAGTATTTATACTCTGTTCCGGTTGAATGGATTGATTCAACAATGTACAAAGTCTGTCATACATTTCAGCCATCAAGCAGCTTGCTATGTAGGAAGTGAAAACTTGATGGGTAAATACTTATATAAGTATAAATAAGTATTACAGTTAGTGAAGTTACAGAGTCTGAAGGCATAATAATTTAGTACTCCAAATGGCAATCAAATCAAATAAAAAATAATGTATTCATATACATTTTAGCAGCTTTATGTACTTATTATTTTTTTGTATTTATATTTTTTCCCTACAATATGTATGAGTGTTATCACTGTGTTACAAAAGAGTACTGTCCAGTCTGGTGTTGATGTATATAAGTTATGGTTGCCACTTACAATCAGGTGAGCCATAAGCTTGACATTCCAATTATATGAAAACAAGCATGTCAATTATTAACAACTGTCTGTTAACTGCTACTTCATCGGCATGGATTTTACATTTTGTTATTAAAATAAATAAAATTTCTAAAATAAAGGTAGATTCAGTTATTTCTTATAATATTACCTATTTGTGAGTGAATGTCCCATCAAAATTGCTCCAGCAAGAATAGCATAAACAAAAATTTTACAATGTTTTTTTATGTAATATCTATACTATATATACATCATACTCACAAATCATTGTTATCGATGCTACTCAGGTCACTAGCAGCAGCCATGTTGCTGAAACAATGAATTTGATCGTTAATTAAATGTAATTTTTTATGTATCTATATACTAGCTGTGCCTGCGGTTTCACTCGTGTGAAATTTATAGCCTATATGTTATTCTGATGTAAAAGCTATAGTACTGTGCTATTTCTCTGGTAGGGGCTTAAGTCCAGCCGCTCAGAGTTTAGGTAAGAACCAGTTAGCTTTGAAGCTATTGGATACATATAACTGTCCATGTAGAAAGGGTTAGTCAGCATTTGAAAAAAATAATTGAGATGGCACCTCACTGGATATGCCTTATCTCTTAATGCCTATAACAACACAGAATCTGATTATAGCTGAAGGGCTGATTGCAGTTGGAAAAGGAAAAAAATGTATTCAGTAGCTTCAAAGCCATTATTGTGGTGGCTGGTTACACGCTTGTATACTAGTGTGATTATGAGGACCAGTTACATGGCCAGTCTTGTCTGAAATACAACTCGCTGGTTTAAAAGCTAAAGGAGAGGTTTCTTAAATAACATTATATTCAGCTAAATTTGTTCAGCTTTGTGATTACTATCACTAATAATAAAAAAACTTAACACAATTTGTAAATCACAGGATCTTAAGTACCACATTTTATTTTTATTGAGTTCCCAATATTTCGACAGTGTTTAAAACAACATGATCACAGGTTCATGCTCATTCTTAGTAGAATGAGCATGAACCACAACTGGTGCCCCACCAGCGTATATTATTAGTACAAGGAGTTACATCATTTCATCATCACCCAATATTTATAGTTATAAAAGTATTCTCATTATGTGTAGTTACTTAATTACAATTACTAGTGGTCGCCCATTGGATGAAATTCGACTATAATAAAAATACAAAAACATCTTTGAACCATCATCATAAATAACAATTTAACAAATTATAGTGTTTGTAATGTTTTTTTACTGATATAATGTATAATTGTAGAAAATATTATGATTCTAGACTTGTCTATACAAAGTATAAGTGTGGGAATTTATTTGCGTAAACTAAAAAATCGCTGGTGCTTAAGTAATTACTATTTGCTGAATCTTGCCACAAATTTTCGTGGCGATAACGGAGTGTAGATACGGAAAACAGAAAAATATTGCCGATTGATTAATTAATGATCACAAATAGTAAAATAATTTGTGTCGTCAGCCTACCTGATAATGTCTACTATAAATTGCTTCAGTTTCAATTCAACACTACTATGAACTATATAAAATGGCACTGGTCAGTCTTAGGTCTATTTATTTGAATAAATCACAAATAACGATGCACTAATATAATTCGACTACATAGCTTTGTCCACATATCTAATGTACCAATTTATTTAGTGTACATATAATTCTTTGAATTTTATTTTATTTCTTTAAGTTTTCAAATTGTATATCACGGGATATTTAAACACAGACAACACAGATAAGAAAAAGTCTGAAAAAGTATATATAAAATAGGTCTAACATAGGACTAGAGATAACAAATATCGATGTTTCTACAGCGACGTCGAATCTTTGATAACACATTGATATATCGATATTAACATTGATGATATCGACAAAAAAATAAGACTTATGTCACCAAAAATGCAAAATGATATAAAATCGTACGGAACTTGATACTTGATAAGCCAAAAAAATATTTTTTTGTTACCGGCTAGGCGGCTAATTAAAGTACCTATTCATTCTAAATGTATATTTGTCATTTTTATTGAATAGTATTAATAATATAGTATAATATTATGTTATCTGTGGTAGTAGCATGTAATGTAAAGTATAATTATATTATTTGTGGTAGTACTGTTCTTGTACATTTTTATTTCTTAAAAAAAAATTTACTTTAGATTTATGTTGTGTTGTAAATGTTTCAGAAAATCTATGTATAAACATATCTAAACACTACCAAAATAACAAAAATAGAACTATTCGAAAGGTAAAATGCATTTAAAATTTTTAACCCTAGGAAAATATACATGTATTCCGACATCTACATTTTTTTTCTCTTATGGCATTTACACCGATTTTAGGGTATTTCGCAAAAAAAAAAAAACGGGGAAACGTCTTTAATTCATATCTAGCTAATAAATAAATGTCAATGGCAGCTGCATACAGAGTACTTCAGAGTGTTTTTTTTAAGTTGATACTAACCTGTGGTCGTCTGTTAAATCTTTAAAACTGCAACTGATTTTGAAGCGAAATTTTTTAATAGATAGATTGTTTCTAGAGGAAGGTTTATATATATATATATATAATACATGTACACCCGTGCAAGCCGGGCCGAGTAGCTAGTAATGTATGAAGTACTTAATTATTTTGATTTTAGGTTATGTGTAATGCAAAACTTGTATTAAGACATTGTAGCAAGATGTAGGGGCAGTACTCATGATAGCAGAATATTTACCGAGTCAAATATAAAAGAAAGGTTTAATAATGTTCATTTTTAAGGACGTTTACTCGGTGACTCAGGGTATCCACTTCTGCCCTACCTTTTTACACCAATTTTGAATCCTGTCTGTAGAATGGAAGAAAGATATAACTCTGCTTATATAAAAACGCAGAATAGTGTGGAAAGTTTTCGAGTGTGGAAACAGATTCCAATGTTTATTACATGATTTAGGTGTATCACTAGAAAATGGATAGGCAGTTAGTGGCTTTAGCTGTGCTCCACAATAGCTCTTAGTATGAATGATGATATATTAGGTAATATTTTAATGAAACGCTATATTTTTATTTATTTCAATATTATTTAGTAAACATAAATTTTTCAAAAAATTTACAATACAAGTTAAAAACAATAAAAACTCTTTATTGCGCATAAAAAAAAAATAATAAAGAATGAAAAATATGCGAACAAAAGTCGGCCTTATCGCTCAAAGCGATCTCTTATAGACAACCAGGCAGATAAAAGTATTGGGTTAGGGAAAGGTAGGTGGCGCACTAAAAAAGAAAGTTAAGTATTATATGAGTACTAAATACATATACATACAAATACTACCTATATACCTATATTATTAACGATTATCAACTTCGGTGCATTCATAATTTGCACTGTTACACAATTATTACTTAACTAGCAGTTGCCTGTGACATCTGGACATCAATAACACAAATGTGGACTCCGATGCTAGAATAGGAATTCCGGATGATCATGTAACCTACTTTTAATTGTAAAAAGTAAAGGTAGTAAGTGTAGGTTCATTATAGAGGAAGAGCCCACGACGGCCAGACATACGTCATTTTAGTAAACGTGAAAGTTCTTGTATGTGTGTCCCCAACACAGGTAAGAACGATCCCCAAACATGAAACCTGGATCGTGGTTCCTTTGGCAGGTACCAGGTAACAAAGGTGTAAAAAAAATCATATCAAATTCGTTATTTTAAGAAACTCCACATTTTCATATATTGTTCGTAGCATTATTATAACTTGCGCTGCTCATTGCCAGACACGTAGTGTGGTTCCAACCCCCCTAAACTATACTATTTTAGAAATAAACTTACGTCATTTTAATAAACCTGAACTTTATATATATTAATGAGAGAACTATTAAACTGAGTTTCCTAAATTGCCAGACAGTTTTCTTGGTTCCTTATCCTACCAGACTCATTGAAACCGTATATTGGGTAACAACGGTGTATACAATTTCATATCAAATTCGTTATTATAATATATATATATATATATATGTATATAATATCTATATACATATTACATAACATATATATATATATATATATATATATATACTATTTTTATAAAAATACATGTAATTAAAAGATTCCAGACAAACCTAGTGAACCAAAACTGATTGAAAAAGCACTGGAGATGCCAAAAATTAATTTGGATATTGCTGAAATTCATGAAAATGTAAGTAATATAGAACTTTTAAGTATATATTTTTTTGTGTTAAATGACTGATGTAAAGGAATGTAATAAAAAAAAGGTACACAAAATAAATTTATACACAGTAAAATACAAATAGTTTTTATAATGAAATAATTGTTTGTTATTTATTATACAGCCTATAGTGTTCACTTATTTGTTATTTATGTCTTCTTGTATGTAAGTTGTTATCGACGTAATATCGGCTCGTTAGCCATAGCTCCACGTCTTTACTCCGCGGCGCTTGCGCAGGGACTCCCTTCCCTCTTGCGCACGGCGGTCCGTGTACGCTCGGCTCGAGACGATAGATAATAAACTGCTAGTGTTTCCACATACACTACATCTCTCTCCTTTTTAAGTTTATTTTCTTTTCAAGCATGAATCAATCCACTCTATTAGGTATTTGTTCCTTGGAGGCATGTGTGCTACGTTACAACGATGGTGGACTCATTTTGACACTATACTGCCACACATAAGCCGAATGCCTCTAGTGCGATTGGCCTTTCCAGCGTAACCAGCACCGTGATTTTTCCTCCTCTTTTGAATATAAATTACATTTATATATTAACTCCAATTTACTCTGTGTTTCACATACTTCACCTTTCTTCTTTTATATTTGTTTTCATATAATCGTTATTCCACTTTGTTATTGTGTAATATTATGTAAGATTAGTATAAAGCACTTCTGAAAAAATGTTGTATGTTTATGACCAGAATATCTTTATCATAGTAGTCACTACTTTATATTTTGTAGGTTTACGGTAAATACTTATATATTTTTTTTCCATTCTATCTGTCTCATGCAATGTGTTATTTACATGTAGTATTTTTCTTTATCATGTACATTTGAATACTGATTATCTAAACATAATCTGGAATTTCTTCAAAACTCCCCACTATTTATTATTATCATTCCATACAATATTGATGGGTCCTGTGGTGGTATACCAGAATATTATTATTATATCAAGAGTTGCATCAACAATTGCAAACGACTTTCCACTATATTCTGTCTACACATCTGATATCAGTCCATGTAGTATTAATTGGGTATAACTATAACCATTCTTCATCGTACAAAATTATCTCTCTTATCACCTGCATTAATTCAGTGCTAAAATATTAGGAAAGGTTGTCAGACCAGTCTTTGAGCGATCGACATATACCACATATATCACCACAGCGACTCTACGTACTCCAGCAATCGTCAATTATATTAGTTATAGAAATTATATTTTCGACCAAAATTAATTTGTGTACTATGACTTTTGATTTATTATATTTTACTGAATCCGCTCCATTTCACTCCGATAATTAATATGCATTAAAACTGGCAATTTTTTATTACTTATATTCACCCGCAATTTAATGCAACATTCTATCAATTTACCTTTAATGAATAGGACACCATTCATCAATACACAATACAATGCTTGATGACCCCGCCAAAGACAATTTAACACAAACTGGACGTTAATACGCAATTTAATGCTTAACGACCCAGCCAACGCAATTTAATGCAACCTGTCCGCCAATACGCAATTTAATGCTTGACGGCCCAGTCCAACGCAATTTAATGCAATCTGTCCATCAGTTCGCAATTTAATGCCTGATGGCCCATTTAATGCAATCTGTCCATCAGTTCGCAATTTAATGCCTGATGGCCCAGCCAACGCAATTTAATGCAATCTGTCCATCAGTTCGCAATTTAATGCCTGATGGCCCAGCCAACGCAATTTAATGCAATCTGTCCATCAGTTCGCAATTTAATGCCTGATGGCCCAGCCAACGCAATTTAATGCAACCTGTCCGTCAATACGCAATTTAATGCTTGACGGCCCAGTCTACCTTACCTCTGTAGCTCCTTTTTTAGAATATCAATGCCATTGTCACCGTCATTATAATCCATTGAACTTCTTAATTCATCCTCTTTAAGTATTGGTTATTAGTATTATGCTCATTGTTTTTCTTCCTTTGCTAATTTCTTTAAGGTCATCTGAGCCAATAGTCACTTTATAAGCAAATCATGAACTCCTGCAAAACACCAAATTTTATAATTATAGCACAATTAAACGCCACTCTTATCCATTTAATTTTCACAATATATACATTTATGACTACTAATATTAAACATATTTCAGATTTATGTACTCCACAAGAATGTCCAGTAAATAATTCTAATCTAAAGTATGGGAATACTAATAGTATCCTCAGAACTATTTTTTTTCCAATAATGTATCGTTAGTAATTGTTACTATCATGCATCATGGTTTACATTATTATCTAGTAATAATAATAATAATTGTGCAGCCATAATATAACGCACCTCATTCACAATAATATACCTCGTATATAACGACTTTCTTGATTTAACTAATTCTTTGTAATCCCTTGGATTTTCCATAAGAATCGATGTAAAATATACCTTTACATTGCGACATTATTATTTTTTTTTTTTTTTTTTTTTTAATTTGGAAAAACACCTCTTTCTAAGGAATTTTCTTAA